CCTCCTGAGTAGCTGGGACTACAGGCGCGCGCCACCACGCCCAGCTAATTTTTGTATTTTTTAGTAGAGACAGGGTTTCACCACATTGGCCAAGATGATCTCAATCTCTTGACCTTGTGATCCGTCTGCCTCTGCCTCCCAAAGTGCTGGGATTACAGGCGTGAACCACCTTGCCCGGCCTAATTTTTCTGTATTTTTAGTAGAGACAGGGTTTTACCATGTTAGCCAGGATAGTCTCAATCTCCTGACCTTGTGATCCGCCCGCCTCAGCCTCTCAGGGTCTAAAGGCATTTTTACAAGCACAGGGTTCCAGACTCAGTCCTCTGCAGTCTGTCACCCTCCCAAATCCCTCTCCCACGGCTCTCAGCACTGCAGGCCTGGGTTGCCTCCTCCCCTCTCCCCAGCACAGCTGAGGGTCTCACCCTCCTGACATACCTTCAAAACATAAGCCAAAACAGAAAACTGTCAAGAATGCTACTGAAAACAAGGTTTTAATAAAATAAAAAGTTCAAGTGCTTCCAATCCCCCAACATACCCCTTTCTGGTGCGGGGGTGGGGAGGGAGCCCCCCCACCCCAATAGCACCAGGGATAGCACCATAGAAAGATGAGGTCGCACCCGGCCTCCCTGAGACCCATGGGGGTGGTGAGGAGGACGTGCCCCCAGACATCCCCCACCCTTCCCCCTACCGCAGACAGCTGCAGAACCGAGAGCGAACCCAGTCCCCTTCCTGGGGCAGTCTCTGGGGAGTGCTACCCCTAGGTCAGTTCTACCTCCTCCTGAAGCCTGGACTTCTGGGGAGACGCCATGGGTGGCCCCTGCCCCCTATGGCTTTGCTCCCTGGGGAGGAAGGGGTTGAGGGAGTCGGGTGGCTCCTGCAGTCCTAAGGCTGGGGCAGGGGTGGGGAGGGCAGCAAATGGCCAGGGCTTCCTGTGGGGGCGGGGGTGGCTCAGGGGTCAGCAGTCACAAAGGGTCAGGGGTCAGCTCCCTGGGGGTATCCACACCAGCCCTGCTCCAGGGTCAGAGCTGTGCTGGGGTCAAGAGTCAGCTCCCTCACAGAGGCCCAAGGGCTCCTTCTGGAGGTCCTGGGGTGGCTAGAAGAGAGACCCTCCCTCCCTGCTGGGCATCCCCGTCCAGTCTGTCACAGCGCTTCACCGTCGACATCCAGGTCGATGGAGCCGTGGCTGACCACCAGCCGTAGGCGCTTGGGTGGGGAGAAAGGGGCGAAGGCAAGGGCTTGTTTCGGGATCAGGATGGGGGGGCCTAGGGTCCCAGCAGGGGCTGGGGTGGCTGGTGGGGTTGGGGCCAGGCGGTGAAGGTTCACACGCACCACGTAAGGCAGCCCATAGTGCCGGGCCCAGTGCCAGTCATGCTGGGGGCCCCAGTGGGTGAGGGGAGGCTGGCCCAGGGCCACCAGGACCTCTCCTCCTAGGCGGCAGTGGGGGCCACAGCCTCCCCATTGGTGCAGGGAGACTCGGGCATTGTAGGGGGTGGACAACACTGGGGCCCTCCGGGGCCGGGGGCGTCGGCGCTTCCGGGGCCGCACTCGGGGCTGGGGCTGAGGCAGCCACTGGAGCCAGAGGGGAGAGGTGTCTAGGTGGGCACTGCAGGGTGGCAGGCGCAGGGGCTGGCAGGCAGCTGTGAAGGCCCAGGTGACAGGTAGGAGAAACACAAGAGAGGCAAAGTCAGTGCAAGCAGGTACTCCCCAGAACAAGGAGGCAGCTCTGCCCCGCGCTGCCCAGAGGAACATGCAGGCAGAACTGCACAACAGTGAGGCCTGCCCACACCACCCCCTCCCAGGCAGAGCTCAGGAGATAGGAGACAGGTTAGCAGGAGTGGATGGGGAGGGGCTGCCGGGACGGCCAGGAGGGGCGCTCACCGCAGAATGGGTCCCGGTGCAGTGAGGACAGGTGTGCGCAGGCCCGAGGGCCCCGCAGGCCCTGCCAGCTGCTGCTGACCAAGCCTTGTTGCAGCCGCCGCTTGGTCTCACGTAGCTGGTACTTGTCCAGGGGCCGTGGTGGCAACGCAGGCTCCCTAGGCCTCGTTCGGAAAGCTCCTTCACCTTTCCTGGGAGACCGGGTGAACGGGAGCTGAGGCCGAGTGAAGGGAAGGTGAGGCCAAGTGGAGGGAAGAGAGGCCGGGTGGAGGAAGGGGAAACCGGGTGGATGGAAGATGAGGCTGGGTGGTGGGGAGGTGAGGCCAGGTAGAGGGGAGATTCAATGCTGGGGTTGGACGCACCCAGGGATGGGCCCCGAGGGTGCATTTCCGGGCTCAAGGACCCCAGACGCCTGGGGCAGACAGCCTGTCCCGAACCACCCCCCACCCCCGCCTCTCTCCCGCGCTCACCTTTCACAGGTGTAGCATTCACAGTGCTCATTCTTTTCACCGAAGAAGCCCTCGCCATAGAAGCACGTCACCTCATCCCCTGGCTCGATGTCCCGGAGCACCTTCACGCAGGCTGCGTTCCCATCTGCGGGCACAAACTGAGGGCCAAGCCTACTCAGTGCCAGGACCTGGGCCCAGGGGCGGACTGACCCATTCCCCATGCCTGGCCAGGCACCCGGGCCAAGTGTCCTCTCCTGTAATGGGGCAACAGCTGAGCCCCAAAAAGTGCCATTCCAAGGCGGCTGCCTTGCCCAGGGCCTCTCCTTTGCCTGTAGCCCCTAGACAGTCCACCCACTGGCTGGTTTCCACCCCTCCCTGCAGGAGGATGATCTAATCTGACCTTCTGGCAGTGTGCAGTGCCAGCAGTGGTGACCACTCCCTCCGGCCTCTGTGGTCTCAAGCCAAGCCCCACCTCCTCTGCCACACCCAAGCCCCTCCCCTCCTCAGCTGCCTGCTCACCGCCTGGGCCTTGGCAGCCGAGGTCCAAGCTCTGCCTGCAAGGCCACCTCCTATTCTGCCTCCACTCCGCAGCCCAATCCAAGTGTGCTCTGGCCTTGCCTTTGAGATCATTCACCCAGGTGCTGTTCCACAGGCTCCTCCCAGGCCCCGCACAGCCACACCTCCCTCCTTGTTTCCTGCCTAGGAGGGGGCATGACGACTATCCACCCAAGTGTCCATCTACCCATCTGCTAAAGCCTGACACTTGCCTGGGAGTGGCCTTGCCACCTGCCTACCTGACGGCCCCCAGCGCAACCAGCCACTGCCTCGTGAGTGTGCTACCTCCTGCATCCTCGTCTTCCTCCCATCCCTGAGACCCCTATGGGGTTAGCCCCTCATCACCTGTTTGTGGCCACCCTGCCTCCGGCCTCTCCCCTTCCTACCAAGCCTCCTTCACCTGGGCCTCCAGGGTGATCTAAAAACCAAGCCTCCCATTATACACCCTGGGGGTAGTATGTGGCATCCTGGCCCAGGCCCCAAGGCCTTGCTGCCCAACCAAAGCCGTCACTGGGCACCCCCAGCCCTCTGGTGTGCCATGTCCTGCTATATGCCCTCCTTTGCCCCCAATTTCTCCCAGGGAAATTCTGCTCCTTCATCAATGCCCAGCATGGCATCGCTTCTGTGAAGCCAGATGGATCCGGATTGCTGTCGAGCTGGCCGCCCTCTCCTGTGCTAAGGTAACTGGTGCAACTCGCCCTGCAGAGCATCTCCGAGGGCTGCCTTTTGACGCCATCCCCACAGTGTCTGTGGGTGGTGCCAGACCAGGGCCCGACTTCGCTGTCCAAAACCCTCCGGCACACTTGCCCAGCCTGCAGAGCCCCTGGGCAGATCCTCAGTGGCCCCATCTGAGACGAGGACCCATGGCCAGGGCAGCATAGCCAGGACCCCACCTCAGTTATGACTTTGGAGCCAAAGACCTGGATCCCCTTGTAATGCCTCCCAGGGTGCCCCACCGAGTTCTGCGCTCCAGAGGGTGCCCCCTCAGTCCCTTCCTGGAGCCGACCCTCCTCACTCCTTCCACTTCCCAGCTACAGGACAACAAGCATCGTCTCCTCAGTCTGTCTGGACAACCATCCTGAGTCCTGGGCCCGGGGCTCTCTGGCCTTCCTGCTCTTGCCACCACAGTGGCCTGCGTTGTTCCCTGCAAAGCCGGGGGCCCCCAGCACAGGGCCCTGCCTCCCTGTCCCCACACTCCCTGCTCAAACTGGCACAGCTCCCAGCTTGGTTTTCAAAGAAGAAAGATGGCCAGCAGCTGGCAGCCAGGGTTCCAGTGTGACTGCACAAAAAGCCAGGCACCAGTGGCCAAGCTGGAGCCCCTTCCTCCTTTGCAGCAGCCTTGTGACCAAACACCCGTTCTGACCCTTCCAGGGCCAGTGGGAAGCCATGGAGATATGGGACAGCGTTTGGCTCTTGACTGACCAAAAGCCCCCTGCCCTGGGCCACAGGTACCTTCCTTCCCGAAGGCCCACTCCTCCCGAGTCCCAGGGTCTCACCTTGCAGTTGGGTTTGCAGTCTGAATCCAGTCAGGGCAAGAGAGAGAAGAGAGATGGGTGAGCTCCGTGGCCCAGTCACAGAGCCCTCCCACTACACCCCTGAGCCCCGCCTGGCCCCAGTCATCCTGCCCATCCACCTGCCTGCCCCTCACCATGGTTGATGAAGGCGGCAGGGCCCAGCCACAGCTGAGCACTCCGCTTGCGGGTAGAGTACATGATGCTGAAGTCATTCTCACCGGCCCTCAGCAGCCCCTCATCTGCCTCCCTCAGCTCTGCAATGCAGCCCACCAGCAGCTCCAGCTTCTCATTCTTCTTCCTGCCAAGAGGCCAGGGGGCAGGGCTGTGAGCAATGCATGGCCTGCGGTGCGGTGCTCATGGCGGGGGGAACTTGGGCACAGAGGCACCCGGGAAGCAGGGACTCCTGTGTGCTGCTTGCTGCTGGTCGATCCTTCTTCCATATCTCTCTCCTTCCCTCCCGCCTGGGTGGGCTTCCCTGCTCCAGGTCACAGCCTCACAGGACCCTTCGGCTGAAAGCCTTCAGGATAGCACATACACGGCAGGTACAGCCCCATCCCCTCCCCCTGCTCTCACAGCACCTCCTGCCCCCAACTCCCTCCTGCGAAGACCTCCTTCTACACGCCCCACCAGACCCTCAGCCTGGTGCTTCCCCTCAGTGTCAGCCTCGCCCTGGGAGCAACTCTCATTCCCAGTGCCTCTGGAATCAGCCGGGACCAGCTGGGACCAGCAGCTGCATGTTGACTTGTCTGCAACCCGCCTCCTCACTGGACTATGAACCCCACAGGGGCAGGGTCTCCTCACCGCAGTCAGGGGTTTCTAACACGTGGTGGGGGCTCAGGTCACGATGAGGTAAGGAAAGCCTGAACAAAAGCCTAGTTCTTTCCTGGAAGCCCCAGGAACCCTGGGGTCACATCTAGGGTTTCCTGCTCAGCAGCACCAGGGTAGCCACAAAGGTCTTGTGGGATTAGCCCCGCCACCCTCCTACGATGCCCAGAGGACCAGGCACCTCTCTTTTCCCTGGTTGCCTGTCCACGAACAGGGCTCTCTTGTCCCCTCCGAGGAGACCCAGAGGAAGTCCTGCCCTCTTACCAAGCACGGGTGGACACGATCTTGGCTCCGTTGGTCTCCATGGAGTAGCGTGTGCAGGGCAGGATGGTAAAGCCACTTTCCGGCAGGAAGGCACGGAGGTAGCGATAGACCTGGTGAGGGTGAGGGCGGGGGTGAGGAGGCAGGGCAGGGGCATCTTCTGCCCTCTCTCTCCAGGACTCTAGGCCTGCTCTGCCACTGACTCACTGTGTGGTCTCGGGGGCCTCACGTCCCCTCTCAGGGCCTCAGTTTCCTCATCTGTCAAACGAAGAGGTTGGACTCCATCTCACAGGGCCCCCCCCAACTCTCCTCTCCTAGGATTCTCTGAGCCTTGCCTCAGATGGTCCCAAGGGCTAGGAAGTCAGGGGGTCCCAGGGGTTGTGCTGAGGGGCTCTAGAGCATCTGCCAGGTGGGGCCAGGCCGGGTGAGCGGGAAGGACACGCGGCGAGGGCGGGGGAGGGGAGGGCTCCCTCACGTGGGTCTTGAGGGCAGCCTCCTGCCGCGGGCCCCGGCTCTGGAAGTAGTGGGTCATCCAGCCTCCCAGCGTCAGGGCCCGGTACGCAGCCTCCAGGTCCCGCTGCCTCAGGAAAGCTTCCAGCGCTGAGCGCAGGTGGTGCTGTCGCCGCAGGGGGGGCACAGGGCTGGGGGAGAGGGCATGCCTGGGTCCCAGGGCCTTTCCGGGCCCCGGCCCCAACCCCCACTTGGAGCTGAGGGGAGGACCAGGCTGAGAAGCGGGCTGAGGGACGGCTGTGGTACAAGGGGAGGGGTCCTGACCCCTCGGGCCCACCCTCGCCCCCAGGCCGCCTCACCTGACATTCATCTTATGGGTGCGGAAACCGAGGTAGGGGTCTAGGACGAGGCTGGTGGCCAGGTCGTCGTTCTCACACAGTTCTCGTGCTGTCACTCTGTCGGGCCCCATGGTGCCCCTCGGACCATGCTGCCTCTGGCAGAGAGCAGGGGCAGGTGAGGTCGAGGCGTGTGTGGGGAGCCTGGCTTGGTGCTATCTCCACTCCTGTGCTACTCAGAAGCGGTGGGCCCCAAGATGCCGGCCAGCCCCAAGATCTCGTCTGCAAAATGGGGAGAAAAGCAGTGCAGACTTCGACAGGCTGCTGGCAAAGATGGAACGCAGCAAGTACTTCTGAGAGTGGGGAAACCCAGAGTGATGTCAGTCATCACCTTAGTGTCTCTATCCCCTCTCCTTCTGCAGCGCAGACTACAGCCCCACAAACACACAACGTCCACGTGCACACGGCACCAGGCACACCCATGCACTGACACACACTCAGACACCCCGGCCATGTGCATGGAGACACCCTCCACACACACATCTCTACGGGCCCAGGAAAGGCTGACAGGCAGCCAGGATCACCCTAAAGGCTTAGCACGGTAAGGAGCGGCTTCACCTCTAGCCCTTAAGGAGGAAAAGTCAAAGCTTCCCGCCAGCCAGAGGTCCCGCCCTCCACCCCCACCGCGGCCCTGCCTCGGTCTCCGCCCTTGCCTCCCCAGCAGCCTCCGGGAGTGGTCAGGAGGCTCCGGGTGAAACCCCAGGCAGCCTGAGGGGGGTGAGGGGAGGGAGAGCAGGGGGAGGGATCCCAGCACCTGCTCCCTCTCCAAGGATTCCAGGGGAGGGGGGCTCAGAGGACAAAAGCAGGGGTGGGGAGGCAGCACAGGTCAACATTTACAAAAAAATTTTTTTAAGAGGCGCAAGGAAAGAAGAGAGATGAAGAAAACAACCCAAAACCCTAACGCGGACAGAGGGCCAACCCTGTCCCCGCACCAGGTCGCACAAGGTTCATCTGTGCCCGGGAGAAAATGAGACCGGGCAGGGCAAGGAGCGGGAGCTGCAGAGGCGGTGGGAGAGGGGTCGGGAACAGACTGGGAGGCTGCGGAAGAGAAAGAGGGGGCGCTGCAGGAGGGCGCCAGGGAGGGCGAGGAAGCTGGAAAGGAGGCTGGGGGCAAGGGCAGAGACGCACAGTGGTGGGGGCGGCAGGGGGCCGTGGGAGGAGGGAGAAGGCTGCAGCCGGGCTTGGGGGTGCTCAGAGGATGTGAGGAAGGGATGGGGGTGCGAGGAAGGACAGAGACCGGGGGAAGGCCTAGGGACCCAGGGAGGAACCAGACGGGGGACCTGTGTGTGGGGGGCGGGGCAGTCCAGGGACGGCAAAGTGCCTGGGCGTCCAGTGAGTGAGGGGCCTGAGAGGGCGGACAGGGACCCAGGAAACCAGACAGGGCTTGGTGGGGTCCTGAGGGACCCTAGGGAAGGGGCTGGGGGCCCAGGGAGGGGCCTGGGTAGGCGGTGAAAGCCCAGAGCAAGGGACCTGGAGGGTCAGAGGCCGACCTCAGGGTCCAGGGAGAACGAGGAGAGGGACAGAGAGACCTAGAGAGTGCAGGAGGAGGCCTGGAGGGTGAGGGGAGGTCAGGGATTGGCCCTGGGGGTGCAGGGGTGGCCCAGGGATGAGAAAGGGGTCAGGGAGGCCCTGAGGGTGCAGGAAGAGGCCTGGAGGGTGAAGTCAGGGAAAGGCCCTGGGAGGTGCAGGAGGCGGCCTGGGGGTGCAGGGAGGGCCGTGGACATGATCAGGGGGTCAGGTAGAGGCCCGGGAGGAAGCACAGGGAGGAGGCTGCGATGCTGCGGAGCCCGAGGCCTGGCGAGGGGACGGGAGACGTGGGTGCCTGGACACGAGGAGGGGCCGGGCGGGGTGGGGGGCAGCCGGGGCAGGGGGCAACTGGAAGCCAAGGCGGCGCGGGGCTGGGGCCGTCAGGGGGCTCAGAGGTCGGGCCCCGCGCCGCCCCTCACCCGCTTCTCCTCCTCAGGCGCCCGCGCCGCCGCCGCCGCCGCCGCCAACACCTCCCACTGCTTCCTTCAGCTCTCGTCAAACACTGTCGCCGCACCTCCCATCTGATCGCTGGGCCCGCCCCGCCAAGGCCACTGAGGCTTTCTATTGGCCAAAGCTACCGCCACTCCTCCGTTGCTATGAAGCTCACAGCGCTCTGATTGGCCAAGCCCCACTCTTTCCCTCCCCGCCCGGCCCTTGCCAGTGCCCACATAAAATCCCGCCACGCCCCCTCTGCCGTCAAACGTCGCGAACTCTTGCCAGTGGTTCACATCGCTGTCCTTCAGCCGCTGCCCTAGAGACTCGTCCCGCCTCCTGTCCCACTGCGGCCCGAAATGGACGTACTCATTGGCCGAAAGCTCAGTCGCTCCCGGCGAAATTCGGATTGGGTCGGGTTATTCAGGTCCAAGTGGAAAGAGGGCGGGCTCTGCCAGCTCCGGTAGTCGTATGTGATTGGCTGGCATTGGGACAGCTCCTCTTTCCGTTAGCTATAGCCTGGGTCCATCACCATAGCGTCGCGGCCTCCCTATTCTCTTTCTCCTAGGAAAGCTTCAGCCGCAGGAGGGAGAAAGCCAGAGCGGGGCGAGAGGGAGGCAGGGAATGCGCGCGCACCGCCGTTCCTCCCTCCCGCCCCTCGAGGCCTGCGGTTGCCAAGGCGACGAAACTTTATTGACAGCCCTACCTGGCTACAAAGGGCTCCTCAGTCTCTCTCCCTCCCAGACCACTGTCTCTTTCCCTCCCTCCCCGTTTACACCGTTTCGTTTTAGGAGTATCCACAGGAACTCTGTGGGACTTCCCCGCGATATGAACGGGGTCGGATGGAGGGGAGGCTGAGGGAGGAGTGGGGGCTTTGGAGACAAGCGCTGTCTCTGGGGCGCCCCCTGGGGAACCCCCTAATTGGGATCACCTCTCCACCTCAACCCTGGAGGCAAACGTAACCAACAATTCATCATAATTACGCCAAGAATAATAAGCTCCGCACTCAGAACAGGCGGTCTTTGTTTGCTTGTTTGTTTGTTTCGCCACAGCCATCCTTCGCTTAACCACAATGATACCATCTGAGCAGCGTGCTCAGGCGATGTCGTCATCCTGCCAACATCCTAGAGCCACTCACTCACTCACTCACTCACACCTACGTGGCAGGGCTGCTGACACCTGGGCTGGAAGGTGGCCCGGGGCTCCTGGGCCACACAGCTGTGCAGCATGTTACTGTCCGATTACACAATGTAGGCGCTTGCGTGTCTACACATAGAAAAGGTACCGTAAAAATTGGGTATTATAATTTTATAGGATCGCCGTGAGACATGCGATCCACTGTGTAGCTATAAATCTTGGGGCCTGGCCGGGCACGGTGGCTCATGCCTGTAAATCCCAGCACTTTGGGAGGCTGAGGCGGCTGAATCACCTGAGGTCGAGAGTTCAAGACCAGCCTGACCAACATGGAGAAACCCCGTCTCTACTAAAAAAAAATACAAATTTAGCTGGGCGTGGTGGCGCATGCCTGCAGTCCCAGATACTCGGGAGGCTGAGGCAGGAGAATCGCTTCAACCTGGGAAGCGGAGGTTGCGGTGAGCCGAGATTGCGCCATTGCACTCCAGCCTGGGCCTCAAAAGGGAAACTTGGTCTCAGAAAAAAAAAAAAAAAAATGGCCCTTAAACAATACTTGGCACAGAGTAGGTGCTTTGTTTTTGGTGTGTGTGTGTCTGTGTCTGTGTGTTTGAGACGGAGTATTGCTCTGTCACACAGGCTGGAGTGCAGTGGAGTGATTTCAGCTCACTGCAGCCTCTGCCTCTCAGTTTCAAACGATTGTCCAGCCTCAGCCTCCTGAGTAGCTGGGATTACAGGGGCGCCACCATGCCCAGCTAATTTTGGGGGAGTTTTTGTGTTTGGGGTTTTTTTTTTTTTTTTTTTTTTTTTTGAGACAGAGTTTCACTCTTGCTACCCAGGCTGGAGTGCAATCACGTGATCTCGCGTGATCACCACAACCTCCGCCTCCTGAGTTCAGGCAATTCTCCTGCCTCAACCTCCTGAGTAGCTGGGATTACAGGCACGCGCCACCATGCCCAGCTAATGTTTTTTTTGTATTTTTAGTAGAGACGGGGTTTCACCATGTTGACCAGGATGGTCTCGATCTCTTGACCTCGTGATCCACCCGCCTCGGCCTCCCAAAGTGCTGGGATTACAGGCTTGAGCCACCGCGCCCAGCCTGGGGGTTTTTTTTGAGACAGAGTTTGCTCTTGTTGCTCCACCTGGACTGCAATGGTGCAATCTCGGCTCGCGGCAACCTCCATTTCCCAGGTTCAAACCATTCTCCTGTCTCAGCCTCTGGAGTAGCTAGGATTACTGGCATGGGACACCACACACAACTAATTTTGTTTGTTTGTTTGTTTTTAGTTGAGACGGAATTTCACCGTGTTGGTGAGGCTGATCTCGAACTCCCGACCCCAGGTGATCCACCACCCTCGGCCTCCCAAAGTGCTGGGATTACAGGGGTGAGCCACCATGCATGACCTAGGCACTTTGTTTATATGTACTGAATGGATGTATGAATGACCAACCAATGAGGATGAAGCTGACAGTTTCTATGTTGCTTCATGACTTTGAGGAAGCGACTTTCCATCTCTGGGCTTTAGGTTTCCATCTATAAAACAAAGACCAGTTGGGCGCAGTGGCTCATGCCTGTAATCCCAGCACTTTGGGAGGCTGAGGTGGGTGGATCATGAGGTCAGGAGTTCGAGACAAGCCTGACCAACGTGGTGAAACCCCTTCTCTACTAAAAATACAAAAACTAGCTGGGTGTGGTGACGTTCACCTGTAACCCCAGCTACTCAGGAGGCTGAGGCAGAAGAATCATCTGAACCCAGGAGGTGGAGGTTGCAGTGAGCTGAGATTGCGCCACTGCACTCCAGCCCGGGCGACAGAGCAAGACTCCATCTCAAAAAGAAAAAACAAAGACCACACACTTGTTTGGCTTCCAGCTTCCCACCTTGCTCGTTCTATTTCTTTCCAACAAGGGCTACCCCTAGCCCTGTGCTTTACCTCCCTAATCTCTCCTGATGAGCTCTGAAATACCCCCTGACCCAGGCGCTGCTACAGCTACAGTCGACCACACCTTTCTCAGGAACATCACTTTGGCCAGGACCATGCGGGCAGAAGGGAATCAGCTTGGGGACTTGCCATGCAGCAGCCAGAGGAGACACAGGTGGACAGAGGTGGCCTCACCAGACCAAGGTGTAGCTCACTGGTCATCAGTGGGGAGAGACAGGTGACCAGCTCCAGAAGAGAAAAGCAGCCTTACCCAGGGAGGGGAAATGGTAAACATAAAGGACTCCATAAAAATCTCAGCCATGCCAGGCGCCATGGCTCAGGCCTGTAATCCCAACACTTTGGGAGGCCAAGGCGGGCGGATCACGAGGTCAGGAGTTCAAGACCAGCCTGACCAACATGGTAAAACCCCATCTCTACTAAAAATACAAAAATGAGCTGGGTATGGTGGTGCACCTGTAATCCCAGCTACTCAGGAGGCTGAAGCAGGAGAATTGCTTGAACCAGGGAGGCAGAGGTTGCAGTGAGCCAGGATCACGCCACTGCACTCCAGCCTAGGCGACAGAACAAGACTCTATCTAAAAATAATAACAATAATAATTAATTAATAAATAGGCTAGGCATGGTGGCTCACACCTGTAATCCAAGCACTTTGGAGGCCAAGGCAGGTGAATCACCTGAAGTCGGCAGTTCAAGACCAGCCTGACCAACATGGTGAAACCCCGTCTTTAAAAAACAATAATAAATAGGCCGGGCGCGGTGGCTCAAACCTGTAATCCCAGCACTGTGGGAGGCCGAGGCGGGTG